TGTTTTGCCCAGAGATGCACTTTAATACCTTTTTGAAATAATATAAGAAATGTTATATTTGCCTTGTAGTTAATATTTTACCATATGTTTGCAGCCAAGCTAGACAAACAGCCAATAGCCTTAGGCTCCATGTACACGGGACACTTCGGAACGATGGAAACTGACTGCTGGAAAACGTAGGTTAAAATATGTCTGTTTAGCCGCGTTTGCATACTACGTTTATGTGCATTTGCGATTAGAAGCGTTTTTTAAAGATAGCCTCCAGGAGACCTTCCAAAATGCCAAAAATGTACTGAAAAACAGTAAAAAATTACCTATTTCAGACATTTGGAGAGAAATTTTGAGTGTTGGATGTGTCCCAGCTCATTTCTGTGCAGAAATTATTGCAGGGGTGTCTAAAATATTTTCTTTCATGTGAAACCTCAAGGTATGGTGTGCCGGGTCCATTTGAGTACCGGGAAAATGCTTTGCATGCATTTTTCATGATGAAAAAAGGCTCTGGACAGCATCTGGAAATGGAAGAGTTTAAAAAAAAATTTCAACCGCTTATAATCGCGGTTAGCTGCGTTTACAAGTGTTTGGAACGCTGATAAAATCTACTCCTGAACGCCAGTTTGGTGCCTTAAAAAAAACAACTGTAAACTCAACTGCCTATAAACGACAGTGTACATGGACACATAAGAAAATTTTAGGGAGATTTCAGGGGTTGCTGAAAAAAATGCAGAAAACTCCTAAATGTGAGTATATCAGCTGCAGTGTACATGGAGCCTTATACAGTGTTATTATCTGGAGATACTAGACAGATCCTTGGTTGTATCATGAGAGATCCTCCTGCCTATGGTGTTACCTTCATTGTCACAATTTCCAGTTAATAATGAAAATTAAGAAAACATGTTTTCTATAATAAATTCATAGACTCCTCTTTTTACAGGATATGTGTTTGAGCAGCAGAATATAAATTCATGAACGGGTAGTTTTTAAACAAAACGGTTAAAAGTGCTAATGATGTGTAAAGTGTGGTAACCCTTAGTTAATGGACTTCACTGTTTATCAACTCTAAGCAGTCAGTACCATGGACAGCTATGTCTGATAGCCTGCATTGGGTTTCTGTACATTTCTGTTTGCTGTATCCTGTAAGTTATAGCTCATTGGAGTGCTGTGACTTGGTCTTCTGGACTTTTTCTTCTTGCCATTTTAAGCGTGTTTGCTCCAATTAGATCTTGGCACAGGACAAAGAGCCTCAGCCAAGCTTTAAATTTGATTTGGTACTGCAATGTATCCCAATGGGAAGTAACATGTAAGTGGCTATAGGTTTTACACCTGGGTTGCTTCAGGTTCATCTAGCACAGTGGTTCTCAACCTGTGGGTCGCAACCCCTTTGGGGGTCGAACAACCCTTTTCACAGGGGTCGCCTAAGACCATCGGAAAACACATATTTCCAATGTGTAAAGAGCAGCTACTGTGTTGAAAGCAGCAGTATTAGAGGTAAAACGACACTTCATGAATTATAATTAATGGGTAAATAATTTTATGGTTGGGGGTCACCACAACATGAGGAACTGTATTAAAGGGTCACGACATTAGGAAGGTTGAGAACCGCTGATCTAGCAGAACATAAGTTTGCAGCTTGGTTGCTTTTGCGGACATCACTGACTATGGGCAGATGAAGGGAAATTTGTTTACATCCGGCCTTCCATAGACATTACATGGCTCTGTTTTATTTCCATCTCAAAATATGGGAAATAATGGAATAGAGGTGGATGTCACAAATAGGCAGTAGAATTTTAATTATTTATTTAAAAACCAATGTCTGCTTTTAATTTAACTTTAACCTTTTTATTGAATGAACCTGGAAGTGCTAAGCTCTGAGAAGTTCCAGATTCAAGGGTGCAGAGCCAGGTAAAAAGGAGATCAAGCAGAGTTTGTGCTTCCTCTGCTAGAGCAAAGGGCAGGCAGGGGAGACATTAGGGGCCTAATAGAAGAACCCTGATGTCTTCATCAAGATACCTGTCAAATGCTATCACATAGGGGGATTGTTAATCCCCTTGCGATAGCAATAAAGTGTAGTGAAAAAAAAATCAAAACAAAAGTGTTAAATTGAAATATAATAAAATAAATAAAAATGTAAAATAAAGCTCTGCACACGAACGCAAATGCGCACTTAAGGAGCTAACATAAATGACGATTGCATAACACACACAGAGGAACGGTCACATTTTAAGCGTCTGCATTGATCATTTTGGGGCTGTAGTTTCATAGTCACATGTATTTTTGAGGCCTGACATGTTTGGTATTCAGTTACTTCAAATAGTCTCATCTTTTTTAGAAAACAGTTGGGGATTATCTTGTGTTTTTGTGCACTAAAATTCATTCTAGTTTTTTTTTTGTTTTTTTTTTTTTTTTTTTTTTTTCTTTTTTTTTAGCCTCAAAAATATAGACTAGGTAAGCAGTTGCACAAGTATTGTGCTACCTAAACCACTGTTTCTCAACCTTTTTTCAGTCAAGGCACCCTTTAAAATGTTGCACAATCTCAAGGCACCCCATTCTAAAATGTGATAAAAGAAATAGTTTACATAATGCCGAAGCGCCCAAACATGTAGGACACCCAATGTTACAGGTGGTAGTGACTAGTATTCCCATGTTTATCTTCTCCTTACTTTTTCTCTCTCACTCAGCTAATGTGACCCCAGTGGTGACGGACGGGGGCAGGGAAGAGTAAACAAGGATGTTGTGCAGGTGCCTGACATCCTCTTTTGGTCCATCATTGGTTATTAGAATGCCAGTGTCCAGGAGGTTGTAATGGTGCACAATGAAAATTTTGTGTCTTTGTGTAACTAAAAGGCAGGCTTCTGTACAGTTTTTGGGCAGTTTTAAGGTATTTTGCCAAGGCACCCCTGAAGAAACCTGAAGGCTCCCGGGTTGAAATAGTCTGAACTAAACAATCGCTACTACCGTCTTTTTATACTGTAGGTCCTCTGATTTCGGAATATAAGCAATGGTTTGGGGGCTTAATTAATTTTCAAGCCTAAAGTGTTGTTTGCGTGAAAGTTTAAAATCAGTCTAGCAGTGAAAAGGAAGGTACATCATCAGTGCTTGCCAAATGGGCGTAGCAGGAACACGCTGGACTCAGAAGAAGTGGCAGTGACTAGGTGGAGGCAGAAAGCTTTGGCCCTTACATTGCTGGAGGGGAGCACGCCTAGAGATGGGCAGCATTTGCCATCGTGCCACATTATGGCACACCTAACTACCCCCATGTTACATTTTAGTTGCCATTTTAGTTGCCTTTCTGCATCTTCCTTTAACGGCACCCATAGCTTATTTTCCATTAACATGGATTTTGAGATCTGGTTGTAACATTTTACTTGAAAGTTATTGTTGGTTGTGATATTTACATTTCTACCTGCTTGCAGAACCCTTCTCCCTCTAGTTGTAATTCCTACACCGTTCACCTGATTTAGATGTAAATACCCTCATATTAAAGCTGACAGTCTGCAGTTAAAGCACATCTTGTTCGTTTCATTTCAAATCCATTGTGGTGTATAGAGCCAAAAATGTTAGAATTGTGTCGATGTCCCAATATTTATGGACCTGACTATATAAAAGCATGAGGATCCCCAGCACTTTTCTTGAATAAAAGGGTCACCTTATTGCATTTGGGTCATAAACTATCATCTCAGGCCCATGCTTTCATATTTTGAGCTTTATAAGTCCCTACCCATTGCTATTTTTAGGTGCTTGTATTGCTCAGACACATAGGCATAGGTATGTGTTGTTAGTTTTAACTGAGGATGGTCTTTTAGGTCAAACAGTAGAGCTAGCATTCTTCATGCTTTTATGTTGTACCCGACTGTGGACTTGAAGATGTTGAGTTACTGCACACCTTGTTGTAAGTAATGATCACAGAAAGAGAAGTGGGTGAGCTGTTTCTTGATACATTGTGAAGGTCTTTCTTGCCTTTTTGATAGCTGGAGTAGTAATGGGATTTGAAATGTGCAAAAAAGGGAAGAATTCAGTTGTTGACGTTCTTGTATGCTCAAAAAATTTTCAAAACTCAACCATGCTTGGATCTCCAATACTTGTTGTCAACAAATTCCAATGGTATATATCAAATAAAGTGCAGTGCTCTAAACAAAAATAGTGACTATATAAATAAACATTACATTTTCCCAATAGAAAGTCCAAAGATCATGAACATCTCTGATCTGCCTGAAAAGATAGACGTCAGTGTTATCCTTCCACATATCCACCACTAGTGAGCACATGCAGCCTCTTACTAGAATATATTGACCCTCTACACATCGATTGGTGAAATAGCACTTAACAATAAATATTAAAGGTTCCACAGCCTCCATTTGATCTTATCCGCTCTCACAGGTTCAGCTGGGCAACTCTCATATGCCTGGAACTTGCTCCCCACCAATGGTCTAAAGGCATCTGGCTCCCATATATATTCAGCTCATAAAGGGCAAACTGAACAGCCTCTTGGTGTAATATAAAAACCCAACATTTATTAAAACCACATTTACATACATATGGTAATAGAATAGATATGCATATTGAATATGATATGATAAATCACCAAGAAGATGGATGCAGTCCTGATGTCACACGTCCCGTAACTCCTTCCTACGCATTTCGTAATATGGTGAAAACGTCAGGGGCCTCAGCGATTTTTTTTTTTTTTTTTTTTTTTTTTTTTTTTTTTTTTTTTTTTTTTTATATGCTCAGCAATAAAACTGTGATCTACAGTTCAATACGGTTTATCCTGGTGAAATGTTGCAGATTACAGTCAAACCAAATGTCTCAGTAGAGGTTACCCTCCCCCTTTCCTTTTGACCAGAAACAAGATAATTTACATTGATATTTACATTTCTACCTGCTTGCTCCCTCTAGTTGTTCTCTGTATATTCGACAGTTCGGTCAATGATCCATCCCTTCTTGTACATTTGTTAGAGACCATGAAGGCTCTTCCTAAGACAGTTTTTGTTTCTATCTTGCAGCTTGCCCAGTTCAGACAACGTAAGGGGCAGACTGACAGCCAGGCTTCCACCAAGAAGAGCAAGAAAAAGAAGACCTCCTCTGGCTCCAAACATCGGGAGAAGCCTGAAGAAACCCCAGAAGCTGGCTTATCCCAGAACGATGAGACCCTATCACAGACTGCTCCGAGCGGAGCCAGTACCACTGCAGAGTTCACCATCATGAGAACGCTGCCTCATGGCGAGATGATTCAGCATGATAAGACCTACACCATTGAGGTATGGGATCCCAAAAATGGTACTGTGATATACTTAAAATTCAAAGGTCACAAAGCTTTTTATTAGTAACTTACTGTGGTTGTTGCGTATCTTCATGTGCTAGCCCCCTGTCCAGTGAGAGCACCCTAATTGACCGCAGCAGCATTTTTATTCGACTGGACAATAACAGTTGGCAAGACTTGTAGACTGGCAGTGAAGCCAGGAAAGCTGTACACAGGATCTCAAATGCATAGTTACATAGTGTGGCTGAAAAGTCCATTTAGTTCAACCATAAAAAAAAAAAATTATAATCCTATAACCTAGTTGATCCAGAGGAAGGCAAAAAAAACCTAGCAAAGCATGATCCACTTTGTCCCTGCAGTGGAAAAAATTCCTTCCTGATCCCCTGATAGGCAATCGGATATTCCCTGGATCAACTTTACCTATAAATGTTAGTATTCAGTTATATTCTGTGTATCTAGAAAAGAATCCAAGCCTTTTTTAAAGCAATCTATTGAGTTGGCCAGAGCCAACTCTTTAGGGAGTCTATTCCACATTTTCACAGCAGTTACTGTGAAGAAACCTTTCCTTATTTGGAGATTACATTTCTTTTCCTTCAGACGTAAATAGTGCCCCCCTTGTCCTCTGTGATTACCTCAGAGTGAATAACTATACACTGAGTTCACTATATGAACCACTGATGTATTTATACATATTGATCATATCCCCCTTATATATTATACATGGAGATCATACCCCCCCCCTTATGTACTATATATGGAGATCATATCCCCCCCTTATGTATTATACATGGAGATCATATCCCCCCTTATGTATTATACATGGTGATCATATCCCCCCTTATGTATTATACATGGAGATCATATCCCCCCTTATGTATTATACATGGAGATCATATCCCCCCTTATGTATTATACATGGAGATCATATCCCCCCCCTTATGTATTATACATGGTGATCGTATCCCCTCCTTATGTATTATACATGGAGATCATATCCCCCTTATGTATTATACATGATGGCCACGTTCCAAAATGATCATATCCCCCCTATATGTATTATACATGGAGATCATATCCCCCTTATGTATTATACATGGAGATCATATCACCCCTTATGTATTATACATGGAGATCATATCCCCCTTATGTATTATACATGGTGATCATATCCCCCCTTATGTATTATACATGGTGATCATATCCCCCTTATGTATTATACATGGAGATCATATCCCCCCTTATGTATTATACATGGAGATCATATCCCCCCTTAATATCCTCTTCTCAAGAGAAAATAAATGTAATTCCTTTAATCTTTCCTCATAGCTGAGCTCCTCCATGCCTCTTATCAGTTTTTGGTTGCCCTTCTCTGTACTTTCTCCAGTTCCCCAATGTTCTATTTGTGAATTGGTGCCCAAAACTGAACTGCATATTCCAGATGAGGTCTTACTAATGATTTGTACCGGGGGAAATGATATCTCTCTCTCTGGAGTCTATACCTCTTTTAATACAAGAGAGGATTTTGCTCGCTTTAGAAGCCGCAGCTTGGCATTGCATGCCATTATTAAGCTTGTGATCCACCAGAACTCCCAGATCCTTCTCCACCATTGACCTCCCAGTTGTACCCCCCCCCTAGTGTGTATGATGCATGCATATTCTTAGCCCCCAAGTGCAGAACCTTACATTTATCAACATTAAGCCTTATTTGCCACATAGTTGCCCAATTACACAGAGCATTGAGGTCGGCTTGTAAATTGGAGACATCCTGTAAGGATGTTATTCCACTTCACAGCTTGGTGTCATCTGCAAAGACTGAAACTGCATTCTTAATCTCAGACCCTATATCGTTTATAAATATATTAAAAAGTAAGGGTCCCAGCACTGAACCTTGGGGTACACCACTAACACCCCTAGACCATTCAGAATATGAATCATTAATTACTACTCTCTGAACACGATCTTTTAGCCAGTTTTCTATTTATTTACATTCTAATTTTTCCAAGCCTGTAGATTTTACCTTACACATTAGCCGTGTGTGGGGAACTGTGTCAAACGCTTTTGCAAAATCCAAGTATACCACGTCCACTGCCACCCCTCTGTCCAAGTATACCACGTCCACTGCCACCCCCGCTCTGTCCAAGTATACCACGTTCACAGCCACCCCTCTGTCCAAGTATACCACGTCCACCACCACCACTCTGTCCAAGTATACCACGTCCACCACCACCTCTCTGTCCAAGGTTTTGCTCACCTCTTCATAAAAAGAAATCAGATTTGTTTGACTTCTGTCTTTCATGAATCCATGCTGTTTGTTGCTTAAAAATATTTTTTTCCAGCAAGAACTCATCTATGTTAAACTAACAGGTCTATAATTACTTGGTAAAGATTTTGACCCCTTTTTAAATATTGGTACCGCATTGGCCTTATGCCAATCCAATGGTACTATGCCAGTCATTACAGAGTCCCTAAAAATTAGAAACAATGGCTTTGAAATGACAGAGCTCAATTCTTTAAGGACCTGTAGGTGTATGTCATCTGGTCCAGGTGCTTTATTCACCTTTATTCTGTCTAAATATTTCTAGATTATATCATTTTGTTAGCCAATGTGGATCAGCTGGAGCTGTGTCAATACCATGCCTATTATGGACAAGAGCTCCCCCATGCTCTTTTGTATACACAGAGCTGAAGAAGGTATTTAATAAACTTTCCTTCTCTTTGTCCCCAGTCACCCACTCTAGATTGTTTTGTAAAGGGCCTACATGCTATGGCCGGACCCTTTTACTATTAATATATTTGAAAAAAGTTTTGGGGTTTGTCCAGCTATCTTTTGCAGTCTGTCGTTCGTTTTCAATTTTTGCTGCCTTGATTACCTTTTTACATAATCTGTTATATTCTTTTTGATGTTTAAACGACGATAGCACTTCTTCATTTTTATATTTTATAAACTCTTTTCTTATTATTTATAGCACATTTAACTTTGGCCATAAGTCACATAGGTGTTATTTTTAGCCTTTTAAACTTGTTCCGCATAGGAATATATTGCCAGTATATATTTTGCAGTGTGTTCACATACAGTCTTTTTATTTTTTTTTTTTAAACTCCCAATTTTGTATTGTGTTCAGCTATGCCAATTTTCCCTCCCAGTCTAAGTCTTGTAGAACAGCTATCAGCCTTGGAAAGTTAGCTCTCTTAAAGTTGAGTGTTTTTATTTTTCCCATATGTGCTTGTTTACAGCAAACAATCAATGAAATCCATGTTCTGATCACTGCTACCCAGATGTTCTTTTATATGGACATTCATAATAAGCTCTGCATGATTTGAGCTTACCAGATCCAGCAGAACATCATTCCTAGTTGGGGCCTCTATGAACTGTACCATAAAATTGTCCTGTAGCAGGTTTATAAATGTGTGCCCTTTAACTGTTCCTGCAGTGCCATTACTCTAGTCAATTTCTGGGTAGTTAAAATCCCCCATTATTATCACTGTCCCAGCCTTTGCAGTCCTTTCGATCTGTGCAAAGAACTGAGTTTCCACCTCCTCATTAACACTGGAAGGCATATAACAAACTCAAATGATTACCTTTGTAGTACGCACCCCCATGTGCAGTTCCACCCATAATGCTTCAGCCTTGTTGCACTCCATCAACTAGGTCCTCCTTCACACTTGCTTTGAGATCACTTCTCACATGGAGACAGACACCACCACCTTTTCTTTTTACCCTGTCTCTCCAAAAGAGAACATGGCCAGGAATATTAATGGCCCAGTCATGTGAAGAATGAAGCCAAGATTCAGCAATACCAATTAAATCCTAGTTCTCTTCATGCACCAAAGCTTCCAACTCGCCTAATTTGCTTGGCAGACTTCTGGCATAGGTGAACAAACACTTTAAATTATTGACACCTTTTGCACACGTACTTTGCATATTTTTTGTTTTTGCACAAATGGTACCAATTCCACTGTTTGTTTGTAACATGGGAACCTTCTGATCACCTGCCATAGCCCTCCCCCCATCTTTCCCCATTCCACCCGCCAATAAGAACTGACTCCTGTCTGATCTGTCTGCCACATTATAATCTAATTCTCCCTCCCCCCTGGATCCTAGTTTAAATACTCCTCCAGCGTCCCATAAACCTCTCCCACAGCACAGAAGACCTCATTCCAATTCGGTCCAAACCATCTCAAGCATATAGGTTGCACCCCAATGAAATGTCAGCCCAGTGCTCTAGAAACCCAAATCCTTCCCTCTTACACCAGGACTTTAACCATGCATTCAGTTCTCTAATCTTCCCCTATTTTTCCTCTGTTGCGCATGGTACAGGTAATATTTCAGAGAATATTACCTTTTGAGGTCCTTCCCTTCAGCTTGCAGCCTAGTTCTTTAAACTGATTGTTAAGGAACCGTCACCTTCCATGTATTTTGTCATTGGTTCCAACATGGACCAAGACAGCTGGGTCATGCCCAGCCCCTCCCAGTAATTTATCAACCTGGTCCACCACATGCTGAACCCTGGCACCAGGGGGGACAGCAAACCATTTGGTTAAAGTGATCCTGGTGACAAATTATCAGTCCTGATTATAAAAATCCCCTATTACCACCAACTGCCTAGGCCTTTCTGCTCTACCTACACCACCCCTCCTAGATGGTCTGCTTGGCTGGCTGTTAGGGATAGCAGTGAGATACAGGGCTGCCACTCCCACATCTTCACCCAACTTGGCAAATCTGTTTAGGTGCTCAAACCCAGGGCTGACCTTCCTTTTCTGTGAGCCCCTACCACTCTCTCTCACTACAGTAACCCATCTTTCTACCTGATAATCCTGACTAGTCCCTCCGCCCTCCATATCAATCTCATTAGCTACCTTCTCAGAGAGCAGAAGACCCCTTTTCAAGGTTTTCAAGTGTTGCAATTTGCTCCTCCAGATCTCTAACACGAGCTTCCAGAAGGGCAACCCACTCACAATCGTCACAGAGGTGTCCATCGTGGAGCTATTGCTCCATTGTTGCATACATGCGGCACACTGTTCACTGCACAAAACCTTCAACCCTGCTAGCACACATTATCCCAGTTACAATGTTATTATTACAAACAGAAAATATCAGTTGTCACTTACAGGTTAGAAGACTCATGTTTTCAACTCTGGTTTTTTAACTCCACTTAATCAAATGTCCACTTGACCAAAGGTATCAAAATCTTCTGCTCAAGGCAGAACTTATCTCCGCCAATCCTCCAATTATTTGCCACTCTGACACCAGAACCGCAGTGAACCTTTGAAATGATGTCTCAGGGAACCCCTGCTAATCATTACTATATAAATAACTCCTGTTACATTAGTGCGATTATCAGTGCTCCTTACATTGTGGTCATTGGGAAGAATTAAGCTCTTACAGATAGCTAAAAAGATCAGTGGTGTCAGTGGGAACTTAACTCCGAGGCAGAAATTGCTAATTGTTCAAGGGACCCCTAACAAGCTCTGAAGGAACCCTGGTTGAGAAAGGCTGCTTTAGACCATTATTGGAAGGGGCGTGGGTTTAGAACAGGGAGAAAGTGGTGCTTGCTGCCGACTTTGATGGTAGCCATGGCTCTGTGTACAGCCTGAGCTTGGGATGCACAAGCTGTACAAGCCCATGCACATTGACTTGAAGATAAATTTAGGATCTTGTAGACACTTCAGCAGCATTACATCCCTGACGGGTTCATTTTAAAGTTATGCCTCTCTTTTAATTTACCATTCCTGATGTCTGGTTAATTGGTTAGTTCAGGGCATTATACATAACTAGTAGTAGTAGTAGTAATAGTAAATGTCTTGAAAGTTGTTGGTTAATGGTATTCAACTCCATCTATCTTGTTGGCCTTTCCAAGCAAAGTTTTTAATCTGGACTGCTTAGTCTGCTTGTCCCAAAATAGAATCCGTGTACTAAAATTTTATTATCACAGACTATACTTGGAGTTTTCAGTTGTGTGACAAAAAATTGTCCCTTTTTTTAGTAGTTTTATGAGAATGCAAGAATACATTCCTGCCATGGTACAATATACAGCCACATTTAGCATTTACAAAAGCTCTACCTTTTTTTTTCATTAAATTGCCATCCCTGAGCATCAGTCAGACAATGCAGTTATCAGACTGGCCAAACTAGCCTGTTAAAAGAGAAGTATGGGTTTATAAAAAAAATAAACATTTATATTTCCCTAGTTGGATGCAGCGTTGGACCAATGCTGCATCTGTCTTCCGCCGACTCAGACCAAGAACTGAGCAATGAAACACCGCTAGCCACTTAGTTCTCAGTCTCCAGTCTGCAGAGCGCTAATGATTGTCAATCACCAGCTCTCTTCTCTGCCCCTTCAGCACTCACTGAAATGCTGGGCTGTGGAGGCTCTGCGGGAGCGGTCGGCTCGGGATCTCAGTGGCATGCTAAAGTTGGGATCTTTCTAGAGCCTGAATGGCTGAGTGACGTCAGCTGACAACGGGCTTTATCCCACTGTCAGACAAAAACAGGTCACAGGAGTGCACGCCTGTGATCCCCAGTAGAAATAGAGCCAAAATAGCTTTGGCTTTGCTTCTCCTTTAAAGTCAATTGGACCTCACTGCAACTGCAAGCCAATAGCTTGGCCAATGATTGTAGTGGTATTGCCTCTTGAATGCCTGGAAGATGCTGCTCTACTTCCCTTTGCAAAGCAATCTACCGCAAATCACTTTTGAGAGGTATGGTAGAGATTGTCACTGGTTTAAACGAGGCCTAATGCTAGCCCTAAGCTTTAGTCTCTAACCTCAACTTCAAACTCAGATCAAACCCTGACCTACAATACTTCTGATCCTACCCCTCATCTATTCATGGTGTATCCCTGAAAACAGGAACTGGTATGGAAATGACCAGTGTATTAGACCACAAAATCATCAGTTACACTATAGGGCATAATGTTTGTGGATACCAGACCATCACACCTACCTATATTGCCAAATATAAGTGGACTTAGACAATTGTGCACTTCCAACCTTGTGAAGGTTCTTTTCTGTTCCAGCATGAATGCACCCCTGTGTACAAAGCCATGGTTTGATGAGTTTCACAAATGTTTTTAGTTGCTCATTGGGCACAAAATCCACAAAAAAATATTGTGGAAAGCTAGAGGAGTGGAGGCTGATATTGACACAAAGGTAGGAGGGGAAATCCATAATGATGCCCATGCCTTTGGAATAGGATGTCCAATAGGCTTACATAGGTGTGATGATCATTTGTACACAAAGCCTTGGCCATGTCGTGTACTATGTTGAAGAGATTTTAGAAGTTCTAAAAGCTTGCAGTCTTATAGCATAGGTTCACCATTTAGAGCATGTTACACATTATATCCATATTTAGGGTGTAATGTTTAACATGTTCCAGGTCTGCACCAACCCCCCCTTGTGACAGCAGGCTGGGGTTTTCTCCCCGCATCGGCAGTGACTTTTTCAAAAACAGCACATACAGTCAGGTCCATACATATTTGAACACAGGCACAATTTTAGTTTTTTTTCAGGTATTTGCCAAAACATATTAAAGCTATAGTTATATAATGGATATGGGCTGAAAGCGCACACTCTCAGGTTTAATATGAGGGTATGTACATCCAAACTGGAGGAAGGGTTTAGGAATTACAGCTCTTAAGATTAGCCACCCCCCCCCCCCTTTTTCAAGTGGCCAAAAGTAATTGGACAGTTGAATCAAAAGCGGTTTCATGGCCAGGTGTGGGCTACTCCATTATGTCTTCGTCAGTAAAGCAGTTAAAAGGTCTGGAGTTGATTCTAATTGTGGTATTTGCATTTGGAATCTATTGCTGTGAACCTACATCATGCATTCAAAGGAGCTGTCCATGCAAGTGAAACAGGCCATTTTAAGGCTTCAAAAACGAAAAATGGCAGGAACATTAGGAGTGGTCAAATCAACAGTTTGGTACATTCTGGGGAAAGAACAATGCACTGGTGAGCTCAGCAACATACAAAGGCATGGACGTCCACGGAAGACAACAGTGGTGGATAATCGTAGGATCCTCCTCTATGGTAAAGAAAAACCCATTCACAACATCCAGACAAGTGAAGGACACTCTCCAGGAGGTGGGCGTATCATTGTCAAAGTCTACAATCAAGAAAAGACTTCAGAAGAGCAAATACAGAGGGTTCACCACAAGATACAAACCATTCATAAGCCTGAAGAATAGATAAGCCAGATTAGATTTTGCCAAAAAAACATCTAAAAAAAAAAAAACAGTTCTGGAAAAGCATTCTTTGGATGGATGAAACTAAGATTAATCTGTAAAGTGTGGAGAAGGCTTGGAACAGCTCATGACCCAAAGCACACAACGTCATCTGTTAAACATGGTGCAGGCAGTGTGATGGCATGGGCATGCATGGCTTCCAGTGGCGCTGGGTCATTGGTGTTTATTGATGATGTGACAGAAGCACTCGGATTAATTCTGCAGTGTTTAGAGATAAACTGTCAGCCCAGATTCAGCCAAATGCAGCAAAGTTGTTTGGACAGCGCTTCACAGTACAGATGGACAATGATCCAAAACACACTGCAAAAAGCAACCCAGGAGCTTTTGATGGAAAAGAAGTGGAATATTCTGCAATGGCCGAGTCTATCATCTGATCTCAACCCAATTGAGCATGCTTTTTACTTGCTAAAGACAGAAAGACCCACAAACAAAGAATAATTGAAAACAGCTGTAGTTAGAGCCTGGCAAAGCATCAGAAAGGAGGAAACCCAGTCTTTGGTAATGTCCATGGATTCCACACTTCAGGCAGTCATTGCCAGTAAAGGATTCTTAACAAAATATTAAAAATGAACATTTTATTTATGATTATATTCAATTGTCCAATTACTTTGGTCCCTTGAAAAAGGGGGAATGGCTACTCTTAAGAGCTGTAATCCTAAACCCTTCCTCCAATTTGGATGTACATACCATCAAATTAAACCTGAGAGTGTGCACTTTCAGCCCGAATCCATTATATAACTATAGCTTGAATATATTTTGGTAAATGCCTGAAAAAATGAAAATTGTGCCTGTGTCCATATATATATGTTTCGGGCTCTGGCTGTGAATTAATGGGACTACAAGTCCCATCTGCTTCCATGGCAGACGCAGGTAAGCTGGAGGCAGTGTCTGCAGGAGCCTCTACTGATCGCTGGTGCAATACTCCGCAGCCTACTGGTGGTGCTACTACGAATTGCCACATGACACCTTAGGTTGCTGTATCAATACAGAACAGGATGCATACACAGAGAGCGATCCCTAAAATAAAATCACATTTTGACTATAAAGCATTTTTTTGAAATGGGGTTTTGTTTCATTGTAGCCTGAAAGTGAGGTGTCTACCACGGCCGATGATTATAGCTCTGAGGTAAGCCAAGCGGTGCATGCTGCATGCAGATGATCCGCCTGTCTCTGGGTGACATATTTCATTCCTGATCCTAGAGAATCTGTGATTGTCACTTCATTCATTCTCCTTTTGTCTTCATCTGCCATTGGGGAATTGTTGGAAGTACGCAGTTCCCTTTTTCACAGTGTCTTTTTGTCGTCTTTCTCTTCTTTGTAATCTCTTAATACTTCATTGAAATTTACATGAAATCATTACTGTTCAGTTTTGTATTGTTCACATTGAAAGGATTGCTTTTATTGCCAGTATAGCAGATCGGTTTTACAGGGCAACTGCAGCCATACAGCTAAGTGCAAAGTTCAAATATAATTCAGGTGCCAAAAGATTTGCAAAGTAAATGCCGATGCTCTTTTTTCATTGGCATTTACCAAAGCATGTGCATATGATGTACCGTATTTTCTAAAGCAGAAGCTTCACATTTGGAAAAATAAATACATCATGTAGACATGTGCAGGTAAATGCCAATGCAAAAGATCATGGGCGTTTACACAAGCAGAAGTGCATACAGACGTGCACTTCTATGTGCGCTCCACCTGTGGTTCCCCAGGCACAATCGAACTTCCTTGCACCTGCGAACATCCATGTGCATGTACCCTGAAGTGAGTCAGCCAGAGATACGTGATACTTTTTGAGGGACATTAAGGCTAGGTTCACATCTGTGCGGGTGGTGCTGCTGCGGATCCACACGAAAATCCATGCAGCCGCACCACCTGCACAGAGAAATGCGGACCTGCGGGTGGGTGCCATTACTTCTAATGGCACGCCGCACACACTGGAAAACGCAGCCGTACTGGGTTTCCGTGCGGGCTGCGTTTTCGGAAGAAGTGCAGGGACTTCTTCCCTGTGTGGCACGGGAGTCCATTCAAATGAATGGGCTCTCCTGCCCGTGAAAAACGCGTCCCACACGGCCACATATGTGTGAATCGGGGCTTATTGAGCAAATTTGCGACACACTTACTTGCATTTTAGCCTGCATATTATTTAGCAAAATATGTGCAGTTTTGTTAGGGTATTTGCTGCACCTGGAATTTCGGGCACCAAACTGACACAACTGTGTAAAGGATTGAGACAGATTTAGCACTAAAGGTGAGACTGATTTTCACTTTGAACAAATTCACACTTCGGAAGCAGCCGGGGCAGGTTGTATTGTTGCAGTGCTGCTTCAGACCAGCAGAGGGAGATATTTAAGTTGCAACCTTACAGTAAGGACTTGTCCACACCAGGCGCAATGCAGGAACTCGCATGTTTTCCTGCATCGCACATTAATGCACTGCCCTCTACAGATGCACGTGGCTGTCATTAAAGTGTCATTAAACCCACATCATAATAAGTGATCAATAAATGCTGTATTACATGCTGCTCATAATTGTTCAGTCACTATGGGATTTGATTTCTATATAAAAAAAAAAAGCCTGGTTGATCCATCTGTTCATGTCCCCAGTGCAGTTGGGGATTTTGCAGAGCAGTTTGGGTGTTGGCAGCTACTGCACATGCTCCGTTTTCGGTGAGTTTCTATGCTGATCATTCCTTCCTTATCATATCTGAGCAGCCCATGTGACTATATAGAGTCACACATGTCGGCATATACACAGCGGTAAATGACAGCAGACTCCCTCCTTCCTCCTCCATGGCCACTATCCAGTTAAACACAATGGGGGTAGGATATTGCATCTTTATTAATAGAGAAAAACAAAACAGAGGGCGCACCGGCCTTGTGCATTACCTTTAAAAATATGTTTATTAAATTAAAAGAAGGTATTCTACTCACAAAAGTACATGAATATAAGCACATCATATGAGACCGCCCTGTCCAATTCGCAATGCGTTTATGAATGGTGATGAGAATGATGGACATCAGAGACTCTGAGGAAGAGGCTAGTCCTCGAAACGCGTCAGAAATTTTGGATGTCCATCATTCTCATCACCATTCATAAACGCATTGCGAATTGGACAGAGCGGTCTCATCATGTGCTTATATTCATGTACTTTTGTGAGTAGAATACCTTCTTTTAATTTAATAAACATATTTTTAAAGGTAATGCACAAGGCCGGTGCACCCTCTGTTTTGTTTTTCTCTTAGTACTTTTGGACTCCCCGGTTCTTTGAGGGCAGCAAGGCATGTATATTCCAAGACCTTGGTTGTGTGATCCCTATGACAAAGTCCATCCCTAAGTGCACGAGTATTTGGGTTTTCCACTTTCACATCATTGCATCTTTATTGATGGAGGCTTCACCTTCCTGTTGTTCTAAGACGCAAGCTGGAGGGATGTGACACAGCCTTTGACTGGTAGAAATCCTCCCACACCATGTTATTGCCAAAAATAATAAAGAGATTATTTGACATATAGATGTGTATGATGATTTAAAATAGTTTGATATTTTTCTTATACTGTATCCCAAAGGTTTTTTTTTTTTTTTTTTACATTTTGAGCATATAACCATCTGTAGGGGACTAGAAGCTCCTCCTCCTTATGTTTCCCCCTGCAGACAGGCTAGGAAAGAGCTGGGTCATGTGACAGCTGTATATCAATTAGGATTTTTTTTAATTTATTTATTAAAATAATTACAGAGCCGTCATCGATATACAGAAAGAGAAGGGATCATGTAAATTAAAGAGTGTGTGTTAAGTGTCACTTTAACCCCTTCACACAAATGTGCAGCCTCCCGGCTTCTGGGCCTAGACACCGAGCGGCCGCACATTTGCGTTCATGTAACAAAAAACATATGTGCTGAGAGCGTGCGCCCTGCGCGCTCCCAGCACACATGTGAGGTACTCACGGAAAGGTCCCGGTCCGCTCTTTCGATCAGGACCTTTCCCGATCATGTGACCGGCTGTGACGTGACATCACGGCAGCCACATGACATTAAGCCATGCCCCATCCCGCCCACCTCCCGGGTTAATTATTAATGGTATCCCCACGCATCTAGCATTTGCAGCTGCCAGAATGCATGATAACGCAGTATTATGCGGTTTGGTGTGATTTTAAAAATCGTGTTTGCTTCATTTTTGTGCGATTCGCACGCATAGAGCAGCCCATTGAAATTGCTGGACAGCCCGGAAATGCGACACATGGGAACCTGCTAAAAAAAAACAACGCATGCTTGGATGCATCTCATAGTGTGAACAGGGGCGGACTGACCATTCGAGCACTCGGGCACTGCTCGAGGGCCCAGGGTCAGTAGGGGGCCCCATAAAATGCTCCTGGTACCTTTTTTTTTTTTTTTTTTTTTTTTTTTTTTTTTTTTATAGGTTTTTTGGGTGTGTTTTGAGTGTGGGCAAGGACTCGGGCCCCATGATCCCCAATTGCCCGGGGGCCCCATGAGTTGTCAGTCCGCCCCTGAGTGTGAACAAGCCCTTTAGCCTGCTCCAGTTTACTATTGCCTTTCCGTGTGACTGAAATGATAAATGCCCCCCTTTGATTCTTTTTAAGTTAATTGCAGAGTGGTACTGACAGTTTTGTAGAGGTCAGCCGGTGACTTCTTTTTCTTGGTTGATGCCAAGCCTTGTCCAAGTCACATGTCCTGTACATTTCTTTTCTCCACAAAAAAGATCTTTTTTGTCAGAATATAGTCTTCCCTGGGGAGAAGCCGAATAGCAATCAAGAGCTCTGCTGCCAGCAAAGTAGAGATAATCAGAGCCAGTTTATCTCTGCAAGAATCGGCCAGCTTGCAGAGTCAGGTGTAATAGACAGAGAACGCCAACTAGGATTTCTGTTGCTAACATTGTTTCCTTTGCAAAAAAACAAACAAAAAAAATTTGATGCAATCTGTGTGTTAAATTTTACTAATTTTCGCCACTAAGTGTGAAGTTTTAGTGTTAGGTAGGTCCTCTGGCAATCTCCAACCTTCACTTCTCTGATTTTGTATTCTCAGTGTCAGGTAGGGGAGGAGATCACCGGAGAAGCCTCCACAATGCTTCTAAGGATGAAGGCTGATAATTGATGAACAACAACTTTACTTTCCATGCCCCTTTCTTCAGATCAGATCAGCAGCTTGTAAAAGTTTGTCAGGCTGACAGCTGCTGCGGCTGGATGGTGCACCAAGCAGTATATTCAGGGTCAGGGGCGGACTGACAACTCATGGGGCCCCCAGGCAATAGGGGATCATGGGGCCCCTGTGTCCTCCACACCCGAAAAAGCCAATGAAAGGTACCAGGGGCATCTTATGGGGCCCCTTACTGACCCTGGGCCCTCGGGCAGTGCCTGAGTGCTCCAATGGTCAGTCCGCCCCTGTTCAGGGTAGTATGTACCCAGGAGCAAATGCCTGCAATGCAAGTAGTCTGCACAGAGCAAATTTTGATGGATTCATCAGGAACTGGCCAATCCCTTTTTTGTTTTGTTTTTTTGTTTAACAGAGACTGGTTTATTGAGTTTCGGAGAACAATACAAATATAGTTCCATGCAGTACAGAAAAAAGGATAGCTCAAATTAAGCCAATACAGACACATGGAGGGGAAAACAAAAATCCGTGGTCAAGAGAAACTGCAACAAATCCCTGTAGGAAAGAGTGAAAGCTCAGATACGGTTTACCAATTAAGGCATAAACATATTCTTCAGCACAGTAGCTGTCGCCTAATATATTTCCATAAACCGTATGGAAGGAGGAGACCCAGAGGAGAGAAAAAAGAGGGGGAGGAAGAAAAGGGAATGATGAGAAGGAGAAAAAGCAGAGGAGGGAAAACTGGAAATGAGAAAAAGAAAACAGGAAGAGAGACCATGCATTTGTGGGCAAAGGCCTCAGGCAAACCACCAAAATCAGACATGGGTACCCTCCTATCCCATGAAAAAAAAGTGTGCAAAGAGCAGAAGCCAGATGATGTTTACAGAGAGAGCCCTCTATCTTCCACCCAAGGGTCCTTGAATTTCTGCAATTATCTGGGACAGTTACGGCCCATATGAATCAGTTTGTATAATGGAAGTACCTGATTCACTGTAATTCTCCATTGTAGAACCATCGGTGACTCT